AAAAAGGAAAGGGCCCTGGCTGGTTTGGCTCAGTGGGTAGAACATCAGCGTGCAGACTGAAGGGTCCCGGGTTCAATTCTAGTCAAGGGCACATGCCCAGGTGTGGGCTCGATCCCCAGTAGGGGGCGTGCAGAAGGCAGCCAATCATTGATGTTCCTTTCTCTCTCTTTTCCTCACCCTTCCTCTCTGAAATCAATAAAAATATATTTTTAAAAAAGGAAAGGTATTTTTGTTTGTTTCAACCTTTCTGTGCTAGAAGCAGCCTATTATCTCACATTTATTCTATTGTATAAATAGTATTGTCCGCTCGCATACTGCTTGAACTTCTGCCATTGGAGGCGAGTAGAAGAAAAGTTGTTTCAGTTACTCAAACACACTCCGTTCTTTTCCTTCCTCACAAATCCTGGTTATCGTGATTTGTGTTTTATCGTGAAAATTATGTTTTAAACACTGAAAGGAATCTCAAATTTTGAAATCCAAATGTTAAACATTTTATATCTTAGAAATAACAAGCTAGTACCAACTTTTGTGTTTGTTTTCTACACAAGATATCATCTCTTGGTTTAAGAAAGTAACTTGTTCCTCAAAACCCTTCCTTCGGTAGAAAACTTGATATCCTTAATTAAATGTAAAAAGCTATAACAGTCGCTCCCAAGCAATCGCCCATTAAAAATAAAATCTCAAAAATCACTGCTTCTCCCAATAAAGCAAGCACCTCCATAAAACAAGAGTTGAAAGTAGATACAGAAAACCTTAGGGGAAATATAAAATAACAAGATACGGCAAAATAACAAACAAGAAATGAAACATCCGCAGATGTAGCTCAAGACAGAAATGTCAGAGAAAAATACACTGTAACTGGTGGGGAAACGCCATATTAGATGTAGCACGCGGGAGAAGAGACACTGTGGAAAATACACTAAGAGGCGTGAGCAAAACAAGCAGATGAAACGGAAGTTAACAAAAAATTTAAAAGGACTTCCAACATATATAACCAGTGTTCTTAAAGAGGCAGAACATGACGTGAAAGTGTTAATGCTCAATCCATTATACACCTTTACCCAAGGACAACGGCCCAGATAAACATTTTTGAACGTGAAAGGCACCAGGGAAGGTAGCTCTTATGATCAACTTCAGCTACACGGAAGCGATGTCACAAGGCCTGGAGGTGAGCTCTGAATCCATTTAACTACAGAAGTAACATTAAACCAAAAGAGGTTATGACGGCAGAACAGAACGTGACTGTCACAGACCCTGACCATATATACTTAAAAAGACAATGCTTTCATTTATGATAAAAATCACTAAGGTAGACATAGCCAAAGCAGTCAGGCAGCAACTCACAAACCTGATCAAAGTCTCTCATTTGGTCCCGGGAACGCCCCCCGATTTAATCAATGGCGCACCGGGGTTTCTATCAACTTATGAAGTGAAATGCTTCTTTGATGCCTTATGCCCCGAGTCTGTCTTTTTGAGTTGTTCGCTTTGGTTGTGTGGTTGGTTTTACTGTTGTGCTTTGTTGGTTTAGGGGAGTGCAACATGGGCTAGTACTTCTGAAAGAGACGGCTCTTGATCTTCAGAAGTTTCTCTGGTGAGAATCTGGCAGCCCGTGAATGGAAGATTATGAAAACTCCTCCAGTTGTTACGGCACAGGCGACTCTGCTTCAAGAAGGCTCCCTCCCTAGCTGCTTTCCGTTAGTGATCCTCAGGCACCAGCTTGCTTCTGGGTAACCATGGACTTGGGCAATGAACCCCATTTGTGCTCGTCAATTCAGTCAAATGCCACTCGAGCTTCTCAAAGAGCAAGTGTCTAACCTCAGAAACATTACGGGATTTGGCATCACTGGTTTTCTTTTCCTTATCCTTGAAACCTGTTTGCACCACCAAAATTGAGGTATGTGTGCAAGTTAGGCATCTGTTTCTTTGGGCTACTTCAATGTACAGGACATATTTTTCCTTTTTTGTTTTCACAACTTCCTTTAATACTTATTATGCATCATTTATTCTGGCTTAGGGATTGTAGTGCTATAAAAAAAAAATAATGTAGCCCTAACCGGTCTGGCTCAGTGGATAGAGCGTCAGCCTGCGGACTCAAGGGTCCCAGGTTCGATTCCGGTCAAAGGCATGTACCTTGGTTGCAGGCACATCCCCAGAAGGGGGTGTGCAGGAGGCAGCTGATCTATGTTTCTCTCTCAACGATGTTTCTAACTCTCTATCACTCTCCCTTCCTCTCTGTAAAAAACCAATAAAATATATATTTAAAAAAATAAAAAACAATACAAAGGAGAGTTTAAACAGGGCACGTTCAATGAACTAAAAATGCCTTACTAGGTTGTATATGGCAGTGGTCCCCAAACTGTGTTGATCACATAATCCTAGGAAAGATAAGATGTATGGACCTATGAATACATTTATTTATTTCTGTTTCATTGATTTCAGAGAGGGAGGGAGGGGGAGAGAGAGAGAGAGAGAGAGAAACATCAATGATGAGAATCATTGATCAGCTGCCTCCTGCATGTCCCACACTGGGGATCAAGCCCGCAACCTGGGCATGTGCCCTGACCAGGAATTGAACCAGGACCTCCTGGTTCATAGGTTGATGCTTAACCACTGAGCCACGCCAGCCAGGCAATACATTTATTTTTAGGTGCACATTATAAAACATAATATAGAAATTCTAAAGAATTAAAGATGCAAATATTTTATTTAATGGCAAACAACTTTCTATTGCCACCAAAAACGATTCATGATATTTATCAAGAACATGATTTAATATCCGCTATTATTTTTGAACATCTCAGTTTAATCCTTTGTGGTTGAGCAATTTGTTTTAATACTTGGTTGAATGGCTGTCAGAGCCATGTCACGAAGATATGCAGATATGATGGAAAAGGGCACCATGGCACTGAGCCCTCGGTTTTCAAGTCCAACCTCTGATAAGGAAAGGTTTAAAGTTTTTATTATTATTATTATTTTGCTGTTACTGCTCACTGACATTCAGCAAGTAAATGTCCATCTTCCCCGATATTAGTCACTCTTGAAAGCTTATGAAAGCTATCAAATGTTTATATTTTTTAAAACTGTGTCCTAAAACCAATAAAACTTTGTAAGATTTTTTTCCCACCAGATTAGGACATTCCAGTTTCAACTTATTAAACATGCAGATGTGGAGGGCTTTAATAGATGACATGCATCTTTTTTTAATACATATTTTCACTGATTTCAGAGAGGAAGGGAGAAAAATAGAAACATCAATGATGAGTCATTGATCGGCTGCCTCCTGCACGCCCCCTACTGGGGATCGAGCCTACAACCCAGACATGCCCAAGAATTGAACTGGTGACCTCTTGGTTCATGGGTCAACAATGATCAACCACTGAGCCATGCCAGCTGGGCCATCTTTTCTTTTTTTTAAATCACATTTCCAAATACCCATTTCCAAAAATGCTGCCCAGGTAGCGCAGGTTTCTTTGGAGAAGCGGGTACTCACTCATTCCCTGTTAAAACATTGCTTATACCTTGAAAAGCTATATTTAAGTGTATTGTTAAAAAATTTTCTATGAGGTAGCTCCTCCTGAAACCACTTAACACAGAAAGGTCAGCAGATGTGGACACCTGTCTTTTAGTAAAAGGAAAATAAAGTAACAATTCTTTGTTCTTTTGTTAAAACAACACTTGTGTGGCAGAAATACATTGACATTCATCACAAAGTGTGTACAAAGATTCTATTATATTTTAAAGAACCCGCTGTTCCAGAATCAACTAAGCAAAACTGTTCTATGGCACGGTCTGCATGTGCCTTTAGCTGCTCTCCTTCAATAGTTTGCTCAACAACTTGCTTGTGAATGACACAGCAAAAGAATTTCATATATGTCACTATCAATAACCGTGAGTGCAAATCCTTATTTCAAATAACCTACTTCATCATTTCTAATGGGCAGGGCTGACGGCTGGTCAGATTTCATTAAATTATTTTTATCCCAAATGGGAACACCTGCCAGATGTCCCCCGACAGCCATTCTCTCCTTCAGTATCAGAAACTCAGAGGGCACATGACCGCCCAGAGCAAAGATGACATTTTGCACATGGCCTTGGAACTGAGTTTTGGACATGGGGACAATAGACTTAAAAGGAGGGGCCTATCTTCTCTTCCCTTTCCTCCTACCTGGTTGGAGTTCAAGTTTGATGGCTGAAATTTAAGCAACCCTGAAGCAGGAGGGCAAAGCCAGGTGTGGAGGCAGCCGGAACAAGAAAGGAGGCAGCTGGGTCCTTCATGGCTATGTTGCCATCGAATCGGCCCTGACTGCCTGTGTTTGTAAGAAAGCAGTACACTGCCATCTTTCCTGAGCTGTGCTGTGCTGGTTCTCTGGCTCCTGCTGCTGTTCCGAGTCCTGGCTAATATACCTGGCCACAGGTGATGACGAGTTCATGCTGGCAGTCACAGAAGAGGCAGCTCTGCTATTTTCTAACAGAAACTGCTTTCAAGCCACTTGCCCACTGTGTCCAAATTAGTTCATAAAGATAACACAATATACTCTTCAAATCTGCTTTATCACGAATGCATGCACTGCAACGAGCAGGAGTCAGGGGGGCTCCTTTAAGCAATATCAACTCATCTCTCTGGAGAATATGCGTAGCCTGTGTCTGATGAAATACTGACCATGGGAGAACACCAGCATCCTTGTTACACACTAAAGCTTCGTTGTTTCTGGTCGACACATAAATACACAAACCAGTTCCACTCTCTTCCTGTCCCTTTCCCACCCCTACCAAACGGCCTTACGCCCTCCCAAGTAGGCACGCACCCACCATCGAGGGGATCGGTGCATGAAGAGCTAACTATAAACAATTTCTCTCCAGGGTCATGATCATATACTGTGAGATGAAAATGTTCATTCATGAAGAAGTCAGCATAAAAAGGTGTTCTCCATAAAACTGAAAACTTGAAAAAGGAAATGGTACATCTAGGGGTGGGTGCATGTGAGGATTTGGGGCCTTACCTGAAAACCTCAAGCGCTATCCTTTCTGGTAACTTGGGAGCCACCTGCTTGAACGCTTTTTGGAAATCTTCCAAAGTTAAATATCCGCGATCTATTTGAAAACAAAATGTAAACATTCACTTACCTCTATTAACCCTATGAACTATTATTTCAGCCATAAAACTTGCACGACGCTTTAATATGTCATTAGGAAAAGAACAGTAAGGTATGGCCGGTTTTACATGTTAGGTAATCTGAGATTGTCTCATTGGAAGGATTTATGAATCCAGTCGTACTCTCCCTCAGTGCAGTCTGGGGTGATCCGGAAGGCCACTTCCAGCCCTATCATCCTCGGACTCTCTGAGTCCCTGGGAGAGGACTGTAGAGACATACACTGCAATAAGTTCAGATTCAAGTCTTTTTAAATTGACAAAACAATTTATTCTTCAAAATTCATTTGTTTTCTTGCTTGATATTAGAATCCTATATAATAAAAGCCTAGGTGGCATCGCACCAACACCCTCGCACGATGTCATCACAAGATGGCCACCACAAGATAGCCAGCAGGGGAGGGGAGTTGGGGGCGACCAGGCCTGCAGGAGAGGGCAGTTGGGGGTGACCAGGCTGGCAGGGGAGGGCAGTTGGGGGCGATCAGGCCAGCAGGGAAGCATTTAGGCATCAATCAGGCTGGCAGGGGAGCAGTTAGGCCAGTTAGGGCCATCAGGCAGACAAGCAGGTGAACAGTTAGGAGCCAGCAGTCCTGGATTGTGACAGAGATAACTGGCTGTCGGACATTCCCCAAGGGGTCCCGGTTTGGAGAGGGTTCAGGCTGAGCTGAGGGGGCCCCCCCCCACACACACACAAATTTTGGGCACCGGGCCTCTAGTATAATATAATCATATTGAGGGGGAAGCCATAACAGTAGCCAAGATACAGAACCTGGACTCTATGAGTATTTTCACCCTGTGTGAGATGTGTGGGGTGTAGGAGATCTGAAGTCACTTCTTGGCCACATCCGGTGTGGGAAAACAATTCCTCCAGTAAAATGTGGGTCACAGCAGGAGCCAAAGGAGATACCATGCGTAGGTGGCTCGTGACTTATAACCCCACATGGCCAGCCCTTTTGTTGCCCGGATTCTAACCGCTAAGTACAATTATATAACTGTTAACTTTGTTTTATCCATGGTAAATGTCAAGAAATTAAAATCACGGAGGAGAAAAAAAATCCACACCAACATATAAGGTAACAGCTAATGAGGACAGTAAAAAAATAAACTTCCAAGTATATTAATTTCATGTACTGAGTATATGTGCCCATTCACAGTTCTTTAATAGCAATTTTTAATTTCAAAACACTTTGAAGAGACTTACAGTGCCTGTCAAAAGCTGTGAAGATGTGTCTTATTTCATTCCGATATATCTGAGCTTCCTTCTTCTTCCTTATAATGTTTAAAAACTCCTCGAGTGTTAGACCTAAAAGTTGGGGGAGAAATTTTTTTTTTCAAAAATGACTGCCTTACTCTTTAATGAAAAAAACAAAAACAAACATAAGTAAAAGGTAATACATTATCACAAATTTCATCTTGATTTTGGTGAACAGTATTTATCCCTGAAGTTCTATAAAGTCAAAAAGACACTTCGCTAAATGCTAAGAGGCCCAACACCAGCAGTCAATAGCAAAACCAATAGACAGTTTTACTTCCCTGGGCATTTCCTGGGGGATAAAGGAATGGCGACCTCGCAAAAATGTAACACACGTCCCTTGAACAGATCTAACAGACGGACCCAAACTATATATCAAACAAGGTCTCATAATTTTTCTTTCCTTCTGCGGCTTTGATGCCTTTTTTCCTAGCCAGATGTCATTACCGCAGGTTTTTTTTTCCAACTGCGAGATCGGGGCAAAGAAGTAGTTTCTCAAAAGTCAATACCAATGGCACCCCACAGATAAAAGTGGAGAGAATATTCCATAAACAATGGAGCTGGCACGGTCCCCAGCCTTGGGTCCTCCCCGGGACTGCTCTGCAGCCTCTGGCTCTGCTTCCCGCGACTCTCATAATAGAAGAGCCCAGCAGGATCATATGAGATTGGGTACTGTGCTCACAAAGTCTATTAAAATGAATTCTAATGTGATCTTTGTAATAGGTTTAAAGAGCGGAGCCAAGAAGTTAAAACATCTTGGTGTCCTGAGCCCTGAATATCGAAAAAGAGCAGTTCATTTTTAAACCTCGGGATTTCCACTTTTAAATAAAATATCACTGCCTTAAAAATAGCCCCGAATCACACAAAAACCATGTGCTGATTTCCAAAAACCTGCACCCTTTTCCTTTCGGTGAGGTCACACAGAGCTGCATACCCTTCTTAAAATAGTTCCAATGGTGGGGGGAAACGCAGAAAACCGTTTTCTTAATTTTCCACGCTTTTCTTGTTTGTAGCTAGAGATTTAGGAACTGAAAACGCCCATCTATCTTTATGTGTTGAAACGATTCTTCCGCAAATCTCTAGGAGTCACCGTGTGCCAGGCATTGTGTCAAGCCCTGGAAAGAGAGGGGAAAAGAGAACACCCAGGATTCCAGTCCCAAGGGAGTGCCTGGGCTAGTGGGGAGCACAGTGACCGCACAGGTTTGGTTGCAAACGTGCACACAATTATAAGCCGTGGCACATGCAATGAGGGGGAAAGGGGGGTTGTCAGAGAGTCACAGGAGCCCTCCTACAGAGGGGCTCTGGTGAAGGAGAGACCTCTCAGAGCAGGTAATATTTAAGCCTAAATGATAAAATACCAAGTGGCTAAAGGATGGGAAGAAGAGCATTCCAGGCAGCGGAAATACAGGTGCCAAGGCCGGGGGTGGGGGGTTGGGGGGGGAGAAAAGTGGGAAAATGGGAAAAGTCTATTGTGGTTGGGATGCAGTGAGTGAGAGAGCAAGGCAGGATGGGGTTGGTGAGGTGGGCAGGCCTTTGTGGACCACAGGAAGTCGTGTGGTTTTCATTTAAGTTACAATAGGAAGTCAATAAAAAATAAAAGGTTTGAATTGGGAAGTGGCATGATCTGATTTAGATGTTTTAAAGATCTTCCTGGCTGTTACCTCGAAAAGAACTGGGAGAAAGTGAACGGTAAAAAGGGAGACCCGTTTAGGAGCCTGTTGGCAAGAGACGTGGTTGCTAGGCTGTTGGCAGTGGGCGTGGAGGAGAGGAAGGTGTCCGGACCTGTTTCAGGACAGATGAAGGGTTAGATGAGGCAGGTGAGAAAGAGGGAGATGCCAAGAAGGGTCCTTTAAAGAGCTGAGCCAGACCTGGGAATGAGCAGGATTTGGGGTTGCAATGAGACTTGTGATCTGGACTTAAGTGTTCAGTGCGTTGGAGGCAACGAAGAGCAAAAGTCAAGGAGGCAGCTGGATATGCTCTAGCAACAAGGCCTGTCACCCAGCACCTACCAGAGTGCCTGGGGTGTGCTCCACACCTATGCATTGCATGGAATTAGCACGTGTGGCATTTCCCCCCATAGTAGTTAGGGTGTGTCTGGATGCAGCTTCATTCTCATCCATTCACCCTTGTGAGCAGAGAACATATTTAACACTGAAGTCATCATGCCATGTTCCCGCAAGGCCAAATCCATAACTAGTTTCACCAACACCAAAAAGCTAATCAATTAAATAGCGTCTAGATTCGTTGGAATTCTTGAATAATGTACTCAGTGACCTTAGCATGTTTCAGGAGTCCCTTCACAGCCTGGCCTCCGTCTACCTTGCTAGCCTCCCTCGCAGATTTCCCGATGTTTCTTTCACACACACCTCCATACCTGTGCGCATGCTGGACACACTGCCCGGACTGCAAGTTCCACTTTTCTCCTAGTGAATTTTTACATCTCCCTCCAGATACAACGAGGGCCTGGCCTCCTCTCTGAAGACTACCCTGATTTCTTTCAACTGAGTCCCTCTTCTGTGACCCAACAGCCCTCCAGTCATAACACAGTCATAACCAGCCCTCGTCCGGTGGCTCAGTTGGTTGGAGAATCATCCCAAACACCCTAAGGTGGCAGGTTCGATTCCTCGTCAGGGCACCTTCCCAGGTTGAGGGTTCAATCCCCAGTAGGGGCAAGTTCAGGAAGCAACCAATTGGTATTTCTCTTTCACACTGATGTTCTCTCTCACATCAGTGTCTGTCTCTCTCAACAGCAAGAACATGGTCATGCCCTGGTTGGTTTGGCTAAGTGCGTAGAGCGTTGGCCTGTGGACTCAAGGGTCCCAGGTTCGATCCCCAGTGGGGGGCATGCAGGAGACAGCCAATCAATGATGTTTCTATCTCTCCCTCTCCCTTCCTCTCTAAAATCAATAAAAATATATTTTTTAAAAAGTTCTCATCACAAGAGGAAAATTAAAAAAAGAAAAAAGTCATAGACTCTGTTGCGTCCTATGGTAATTATTTGGCCACACGTTTGCCTGAGATGTGCTGAGGGAAAGCACTGTTTTGTGTCTAAAATTTTACCACCAGTGCTTATCACAATACCTTGCACATAGGCAGGCATTCATTAATATTTTTTGAATAAGTAAATAAAATAACAGGAAGATACCCCACATGCCCTTAACTCAGTGGTTCTCAACCTTCCTAATGCCGCGACTCTTTAACACAGTTCTTCATGTGGTGAACCCCAATTTCATTGTTACAAATTGAACATAATTAAAGCATAGTGATTAATCACAAAAACAATATGTAATTACATATGTGTTTTCCGGTGGTCTTAGGCGACCCCTGTGAAAGGGTCATTCGACCCCCAAAAGGGTCGCGACCCACAGGTTGAGAACTGCTGCAACTTGTTTTAAACTTCCATGCAACCCATATAGAAATGCAAGCCCCTTTTCTAAAGGGCTTGCTCTCACACTGCATTCAGCGTGGCTCTCACACTGTAGTGCTGCGATCGCTTTCAAAGCCAGTGCATAAAGGTCTGCCATTCCTGCCTGCAGCTCTGAAATGCAAACATATGAAGGTAAGTTTTGTGCATCTTGCTGCTCTTTAAATGGCCTAGAAATAGAGGTCTTCCCACTAGCTCCACCTGCTGTTCCAACAGTCAAACCTAAAATTACCACTTCACTTCACTTTCCATGATTCTACTGCCATCGGATTTCATCTCCAATGAGACGTGCATTACCTGTGCCCACTCCTGGAGGGAAACAATATGTTTCAAACACAACATTGGGTCTTCCATGCATACTTTTCACTAATCACAGTTACCTAAACACACTTTATTATAGTTACACTAGAGGCCCAGTGCACGAGATTCATGCAAGGGGGAGGGCAGAGGGGGTTCCTCTACTCGGCCTGCGCCCTCTTGCAGTCTGGGAGAACCTCGGGGATGTCCGACTGATGGCTTAGGCCCGTTCCCTGCGGGGAGCGGGCCTAAGCCGTCAGTTGGACATCCTTGGCTCCCGCCACCACTGCTGCGCTTGCCACAGCTTCTGGCGGAGCAGCACTCTCCCTGTGGGAGTGCACTGACCACCAGGGGGAAGCTCCTGAATTGAGCATCTGCCCCCTGGTGGTCAGTGCGTGTCATAGCAACCAGCCATTCCACCGTTTGGTCGATTTGCATGTTAGCCTTTTATTATATAGGATGAGGATCACAAAAATGTCAGGAACCACTCAGAACAATGCGTTTATCTGAGTTTATTAATTTGTCTACAGAAGGTGTTCAGAAATTGCCTGGGCAGTTGGGTTCTATCAGTAGTTTGCAGACTTTTTTTCTTTTAAGCTGTAGGAAACCTAACACATATAATGTGTAGAGGGGATGAAAACAGGCTTTTTGGTTTGGAGTGAGGTGGTCTCCCCACTATTCCCTGGCCAGCCGTGCTCCCAGAAGTACCCCTACAGGACCCAGCTTCATAAGGCTGAGGATTATGCCTTAGAAACCATGGTACCAATGATCTTTACAAATCCTGCTACACTCTGCTAGTCTCCGCACTTTCCACACCACTAGCAACATTCCCTCCCAGTTTACAAACCACTCTTGGCGGCCCTGGCAGAGTGGCTCAGTTGGTTAGAGCAGTGGTCAGCAAACTGTGGCTTGGCAAACCACGGCTCGCGAGCCACATGCTGCTCTTAGGCCCCTTCAGTGTGGCTCTTCCACAAAGTACCGACTTCTGCACATGGGCCATGAAGTTTCGATCACACTGTACGTGCACACCCGCACATGGTATTTTGTGGAAGAGCCACACTGAAGAGGCCAAAGAGCCGCATGTGGCTCGCCAGCCGCAGTTTGCCGACCACAGGGTTAGAGCATCATCCAGATATGCCAAGGTTGTGGGTTTGGTCAGGGCACTTACAAGAAACAACCAATGAATGCATAAATAAATGGAACAACAAATCAATGTTTCTCTCTCTCTCAAATCAATAAATAATTTAAACCACTCTTGGCAAAATGGACCCTTTTCATATTCTATAATGAATACATGCTTTCCAAACTACTTAATGCATATGATATAGAT